AAACAAGCAATGAGCTACAATTTCTCATCCAATGCCTGAAGCAATGTTAGTAGCTGTTGCAAGGAAAGGTGCTCACAGTCAAAAAAATTGGTGAGGACGGAAAAATTAAGTCAAATTTACACAACAAATAAAGAGAAAACCTAAATAGATGGAATGAGGACTAACATGACTTATCACAAGCCATAAGGATAAATTTAGTTTGAAAACCTTTAATGAGGCAAGTAGGAATAAAACATACCTACTCACCTACTTCACAGAGGACAGAGGTCAAAGGACTCAGCAGATCTGTTTACCAGATTTTGTTGATTGCATACTTGTACTTATTTTAAGAATATGGAGCCTACCTATCAAGTAAAATGATATTACTTCACTTTATATTTATATCTTTAACTGTTTTTCCCACCACCGCTCTGACTTAAGATAAAACTGCTGGAAAACTAGGAAAAGGGCAGGGGACAGCATTTTCTGCCCTCATTCCCTCTGCTGTTTATTCCTTTGCTGCACAAAAAAAGCTGGCACTGGAATCAGGCTGCTGTTTAACAATGTTCTCCATCATCCACCCTCCTCCCTGTCCAACGACACTTTAAAGCTCTGTAGTAAATACAGTTCCTTCATTAACCCAACTTCAGAGATGCGTCATTCCATATCTGTCAACAATCTCCAGGACAGAAAGGACTAACAACAGGGATCTAGCCAACACATGGCACTGGTCTCCCTCCTATTCCACCAGCTATCCTATACTCAGATTTTGCTGAAACTGTGTCAGAGAACTGTCAAAACCATTTCATCATAGTACTCCATTGACGTAGGTACTCATCACAACAACTGATGTCCTCCTGCAGTCACAAACTTTGCCTTTAATTTACCATTACTCTCAATACTGCCAGAGCCCCTCTTGGCATCATTCCACACCATTTCACTCTAAATGTACCATCTCTTTGCATCCATTCATACCTGTCCATGACAGTAATATTTCTGACACGCTTATGTTTGCTCTGTTACTGAGAACTACTTCACCTGTTCACTAGTTGAGTGAATCAAGTTCAATGTAGTTTTTTAGCACTTGAGTTTCCAGAGTTACACAGAGTACAGATGGAGGCCATCTGTTATCAACCACATTGGGTTTTTTTTAAAGAGAGAACTACAGCCTTCCCTTCCACAGAACCAGCTGGAAGACAGTGATTCCTAATCCTTCTCCAGCTGGGAGCCAAAGCTTAAGGAGCACCCTTGGAAAGCAAGGGTGAGTTTTCAAAATGTAATTACAATGCTCTGGTTGCAGATCATTTATGTACTCCACCCAAAACAAACCAATCCACAAATAACTTCCTTACCAGTAATGGGACAGTCCTTTGCTTTAAGACATGGAATTAACAGTTATTAACCTAAATCAGGTACAATATAGCAATCGCTACTGTATGCTTAAAGGCCTTCAAAACAACTATGATACCCAAAAAGCATATGAACTTTCAAAAAAGACACAAAGTTTGGCTTCATGTGACAAACACAAGTGTACACTGGGATTTAGAACTGTCATTTGCAAGAGGTAAGGCCTAAAGCATGCTGCACGTATAATAACCCACAGTTAAAGTGACTGATAAGTATCAACAGATAAACAGCAACAAAAAACTAGTAAACAGACACGCCATAAGGAATGCATGTGAGACAGCAGCACAGAGAATCTTATTTAAATATTCCTCATTTCCTCTTTTTTTTTTCCAGGAAGCACTTTCAGAATTTCATTTTTATACCCTCAGCTGTCCAACAGGACAATATTAAGATATTAACTCAAAGGTTGTTACAGCCATATCCAGTTTTAACTAATATAAAAGACAGTTTCAAGAAGAGTGCAAATAGAGATCAATTAATATCATCTGCATTTTCCTTTTAATTGTGAAAGAAACAGTCCTACTATTGTCCTGCGATCAAATTTCAAATGCTCTGGAAACCTCCAAACCAGACAAATTATTTCAACTTCTCCTTCAGTTAGTTTACGCATTAACTTTTTCTTAATAATTTTTCAAAAACTCTTACAGCCTTTTAACCTCTGTTCTGTAACAAGCATCAACAAAACAAAAGCCATCTGCAGTCCATTCCCCCAGCATTCTAAAGATGCAGCGCACAACTGTATAAGAAGTTTCTCACAATTAAGTATATAATATGCCTTTGATATCCATACATAAGCATCAGATACTCATTACATTTCAAGCTTCAAATGCACAAATACAGTATATCAAACTAAGTGCCTATAAGAGAGAGAAATCAGTCTTTCTTGTCTGGCAAATGTAACCCACCTTTTGTGTCAAAAAGTAAGCAAAGAAATAAAGATTTCAGTGGAACAGATAAAACAAAGGTATAGCAGGTTGCATGGCCAACTCAGCAGCACACAACCAAGGCCTCTGATGAGGTGCCAGTTCACAAAAGAGATTATTAAAGAGGCTTCTGCCCTGTGCTGCCCTCTCTGTCCCCTCATCAGTGATTCTCTCACTCCAGCAGCAGCTGAATTTCACTATATAGAACATTATCTTAAACCAGCAATTGCATTTAACAGTAATAAACCGGGCTATGAACCACAGCAGTTGAGGACCAAACACCACTTGCTTTATCTTTGCAATGGCAGTGGTAACCTCTGGCAGGGATGCAAGGTGTCAGTAAAAATAAGATCAACTTCCTAAGTCATCTCAACAGCACCTGCCCCAGTGAAGAACAACAACAACAAAAAAGCACCAGAACTAAAAACCCAATCAAGTAGCGATGAAATATCCCAGAAAAAAAATTAAGACACTAAGTTTTTTCTGCATACTCGTTATCAAGTCTTTCTATTCCCAAAGACATCTCAAGAGCCAACATATGTTAAAACAAACACCCAATAAGTCAAGAAAATTACTACAGCATCGCCTTTTGCACCTCCTTAACTGGTTGGGATTTAACACAAAACAGTAGAGTGAAGGAAGATTATTACACAGGGTCTGCATTAAAAAAACAAAACACACACACAGAAACTATCTTTAAAAAATCCTGTAGAATAGGAACTGATCCTTTGGCATCTATTGCCTTGCCAATCAATTAATGCTGGCAGAACCTACATAGACTTTTTAATATACCTTCAAAATTACTTAAGAAACTAGTATGAAACTCTGCATGTGTTACGCAACACAGATATGGAATCTGAAGTGCAGAAATCTACGACCTTAGTTTAAAAAACACACATACAAAAATCCGAATAATTTACTGGAGAAATCCCCTGCAAAATTTCTACTGTAGCTACTGTGCATTCTAATGTTACTAACAATCCTTTTTTTAGTGTTCAAGCTGCTCAAACCTGAGCAGGTGGAAAGGCGTGAGGGAGCATATCTAGTAGTCCAAAACATATACACATCTATGTGTGCACATATTTATATTTATGCACACACAAGAACTTGATACACATATTTTTCCATGGGACAAAAACCAAACCCCAGACCAATTTCAGTATTTATAGTAGCCCACATTATCATTCACCACTACAATATATCCCATTCTAAGAAAACCCCAGGAACACTTCATCTGAAAGAGTATCAAGCTGATCCTGAGTTTTGGCACATTACAAGAAAACTGAATAGGCTGCAAAACATACTGTGTTAATAGTAATATGCACAGCTAAGATATTCCACTGTTACTACCACTCTCAATCCAGCTGCCTCGTGCAAGGCCTGTTTACATCCCGTTTTCGGACCATTTTACAGCCATACTGATTTCATTACAGATAGAGTTGGAGAAGTACACAGGAAACATTTGTAGACAGAACACCTGAAAAAATATGCTCCGCCAGCCCACAACACAACGCTCTGACTAGTTAAGTACTGCGTCCGTTGTTTTGTTTTGGTTTGGTTTTTTTTTAGGAAGATGACTCCTACAGTAGTTTTGCATCTTCAAACCCTAACAGATCATAAAGCAGTGCTCTCACTACAGAGTGAAGCTGACTTGAAAAAACACAAGCAGCACATACTCAAAGATTTCATCCCTGAAGAGGATATTTATAACAATAAAAAAATTCCAACACTGCTGAAAAAAATGTATCTGTTACAGATAGAAAAAATGATTTTCACACTCTAGAAGTCCTGGAGATTAGTGGTGCAAAGATATGAGATACTGGCAAATTTGTTCAACAAAGACAGACTTCTGTTTTACTCTGCTTCCATACTAGCACAAGCACAGGAAAGATACTGACTGGCTATGAATTTCACTCCAACTCCTCCAACACGGTTGGAGTGGAGGGTCAAAGACCTTAGGTGTGTGGAAAAGAGCAATAAAAGAGTAAAAAAAAACCTACATAAAAATAAAAGGAAACAACAGAAAAATATTTTGGTTTGTATAATGAACTATAGGAAGGCAGGGAAACAAAAAGGGACTAGAAGTCCATGAGTGTTCATTCCAGCTTTTCCGTGCTCTCTACATCCTCCGAGTTCACTCTTCAACAGCTATATCCTACACACCTTTTCTTCCTATTTCACAACAAAGTTCTTCTGGGACAGAAAGTTATTTTTTCATTGTGAACAAAGAAAGCCTCTATGACAGCATTAGGTGGCAACTGCTAATCAGCACTTTACTATGTTATCTGTATTCCAATAATAAGTCAAACAAAAAAATGTGAAAATAAGAGATGATCTCAAGCTTGCTTTGCAAATCCACCTCACCGTAAAGTGAGGAGGCTTACTTCCTATGTTTTGCTCACATAACTATAGCAAGCCTACTATCATACATTCAATTCTGCTGTACAGAAGCATTAAGAGGTAAATTCCACGCAGTAGTTCTTTGGCAGTTTTCAAGTCCAAAGCACAAATTACCATCTATTATGCTTCCTCTGTTTACACTTTGAAATTTGGACACTAGGATCCTAAATGCATACTAGTAATTTCTAACTTGTACAATACATGTCAAACAAATCATTAACCCCTAATAGCAACTCATTATTGACACATTTCATCAATCACAAGAAAATACCCATGCAAACTGGGTCTTACCTTATCCTTTTCATGTGGAAGAAGACACACTGGAGGGAGACAGGAAAGAGACTCAAAACTCTCATTCCCATCAGCATTAGTGGTTGCTTTAGTGTTGAGTTGGTACAGAGGTCCATCTTTAAGGAGCCTACCATGGCCAACAGCACGTTTGACAGCTAATCGTAATTGCTGGTGAAAAATGGAGGCAGTGCTACCTCCAAATAATGCAGACACATCTTTCTGACTTTTCAGAAAGCGCTCGATATTCTTCAAGGATGAGCCACTAGACTCAGCCAAGCCCTCAATTGCCCGTTTGATAAGTTTATTCCAGTCCACGTTTGGTTTACCATCCAACTTGCCATGGTTCCGAGGCTTCGGAAGTGCTATTCTCCCAGGATTATCAGGATCCTTGTAGGAATTGAGACCCTTGTTGGAGACTTTTAAAATAGTTCCATCTTTAACACTCAACTCCAACTGTTCAAGTACAGTTTTGCGGTCCAAACCGTGTGAAGATGACACTGCATTGCATATCCTCTCCTCTGAAGGACGTTGTTTTTGCTTCTTTACCTTTTTGATTGCCTCCAAAATCCACTCTGTATACAGCGGGTTGGCGAGTTTTACCATGGTGAAGAACTCTGTATATCCATAGAGTCGTTATCCTTTATCCCGATGCTGAACAAGTTTCACACAATGAGAAAACAGATTCTCGAATGATGGGAACCAGCTAAACATAGCATACACGTCTTCTGTTCTGAATTACTCCTCCTTTCTCTAACATGATTCGTTTTCACACTGAAGAAAGGAAAGCAAAACAATTAGCCATTTCCTCATTCTTTCCAATAAATGCTGTAACAGCCTCACAGAGAGTTTTTCCACAAGTTATAAAGATTTCTTGCATATCTCACCTCAGCTTCTGGTCTGCACACTCACAGTCAGAAGAACTGTAATATTAGGCCTGGAAGAAAACAAGGAGAGTGACATTTCCAAAGAACAATTAGGAAAAAAAAATAGCAGCCAGCATTAATCCATTAGCAGAGTTTCAGTCCACTACTACAGTTCTGAAACACTAAATTAATACTTAAGGTTTTATCTTCACTACTAATAAAAGCATACTTTAACACTGATTATAACTCCATACAACCTAGAGGGGAAAAAAAAGTGTGCCCCCTTTGTTTCAATACATAAGTCGGTATAAATTCTATACCAAGTTTTATATCATTGATAAGCACAACCAAAATTAATATGAGGGGGAACACAACAAAGATCTTTAAAGAAGCAGCAGCTCTTTTCATTTTTGTACTTGGAAGACACTGCCTGAAACCTCAATAGAAAGCAGTAGGAATAGCCAGGAGTCTTGAACAAACAGCAAGAAACTTTCAGAGATCTTCCAGGAGTGTAATCATAGGTCTGATTCCCTCCTGCTAAGAAAAGCTATGAGAGTTGTTCCATCAAGAAAAAAAAGTGAAGAAACACAGCTGGAGATTGTAATTAAATATTCCACTTTCAGAGACCATAGAAAAGAAGAATACAACATTATAATCTTCAGTATAGATGAGGCACACTGAAAATGCTTGAGGACAAAGTAACAGGTGACCGTACACAATGAAGAAGGAATGCTTATGATACTGCTAATTAAAGATGCAGATAGAAGGGTACCGTACGAGGCTCTACTTCACAGCCTCTAGTTGTCTTTAATAAAAGATTTTTTAAAGTGTGATAACAGTATGTTGCACTGAAGTTCTACTGCAAAAGTATACTAACCAAAAAGAATTTATAAACTGTTTATTACAAGGAATAACAATTTTCTGCAAGGGAAGTTTTAGTCACGAGGTAGTTGTCAACACAGTTCTCCCAATATGCTTTCTAGTAAGTACCGAAGAATTTATCAACACATAGAACACACGTGCATACAGACACCAGACTCAACTGCATAGCTCCATACAGTCAGTACTAGAAAGATTCAGAACTACTGTCCAGACCAGAAAGAATGCAGTGTTTGCCTGGGGTGCCTTCACCCCGCCAAGAACAGATTCAAAGGGAAATACAGTACCCAAGACCTGCCTAGCTAGCACACCAAAGCTGCGCTCCCGGGGCCTCCTGGCCGTTGTGCACTCCGGCACTCCGGGCCAAGGAGGATGCAGAGCTCCGTCCCCAGCACAGCTCCGTGCGCAGGACGTTACGTAACCGCCCGGCCAGGCTGGGGCGATACCGGGACGGTCCCAATGCCGGGTCGCGCACTCGCTCACTGTCTGCGTGACAAGCGGTCCCTGCACCTGCTACCGCTCGTCCCCATCCTTATCTCGGACAGGCCCCGCACACGGAGCCCCAGAGGCGCACTGCCTCAGCCGAGGGACCCACACCTGCGGAATGAGAAGAAACAGGGC